TTTTGAGGATACGAGCCCGCACGTATGTGTAGATTAAGTCACCAAATTTTCAGCCTTTTAGCTTTTTGTGGATCTCTAGACGAAAACTGTCGAGGAAAACCGCCTCGAATGGAAACAGGTAACAAAGGAAATGGAAGAGATACATAAGTTATATGAATTTGTGTTTTGCAATACCGTAACTTCCTTTGTAATAACGGTACCGCTGTCAATCAGCGGCACCGACATCAATCATGCATTCAGCTCTTTTTGTAAGCTGGACCCAGCTGGAGCGAGGCGAAGCTTCAGATGGGCTGGGTAGCCGATTTTTTCCGGCAGGTTTTCAGTGTTGACGTTTGTTTCTACACCAACCAGACGCCGTCTACCAACATTAGTACACCGACCAGACGCTGTCTGCCAACATCAGCACGCCATCTACCAACATCAGCACCTGGTCCGCCAACATCAGACCTTACCTTTCACCATTTTTCTAATCGTTATTTGCTATCGCATAAATATACCTGTTGTTACCTCTAGTTGATAAAGATAATTGAGGTTAATCATAATAACGATAGAAAATTCCAGAAAAGTCAAGGTCGGAAAGAAGAAACTTGTGTTTTTCACCACAAAAACTTGTTACAGACGCACACACAAACAACCCCTTGACAATATGCATTTTTGCGTTGCATAGCTGCAAAAAACGCATCAGAAGGAGAATTGGGCCCAATTTAAGTGCAGTATGTAGTTGTCAGCATTAGAACACATGGTAATTTGATAATTTTAGACAACTTTCGTACTTCATCCAAAGATTTAAACTGTCCGCAGGCAAAGGATTGCCGGTGGAGATGCGAGCCGGTGGAGCTCTTCAATATGGTCCTCATCCCACCATAATATAATATGGAGGGAGCGGAAGAAAAGACTAGGAGGAAAAAGTAGATGATGGATAAAAGTAGGTTTAAATGAATGCTTTTTCAATCTGAATGGCAAAATGCATAAGAAAAAAAAAAGAAGCAAAATTTGCAAAATATCTGTCCAAAGACTGGAGCAGCTTATCGTTCTCGACGTCTTCAAGCCTGAGGCCGGATAAGTGAGTGCGATAATCCGTTACCTCAGCTTCGGGTTTCACATATCTGTCGTAAAGACATTTTAAATCGCAGTTAACAATCGACACTCTCGCCAGCACATTTTGTCTGCCATTCAAGTCAATATTGACATATTTTCCATCGATTCTCACTATCTGCGAAATTGCAACGAGCCTACAAAATACTCGTACTTCTTAGAACCGAACAAATACGCTTGGGGAACTTGTTTCAGCAAAACCCGGGTACCAAAATTTTCAAGACTTCTGTTATTGCTACTGCTAATTCTTACCATGTTTTTCCTGACTTCTCGAATGCATTGCTGTCATTCGTGCCTGCCATCCTGTCAAAATTCTGCAATTATTTCAGTGTATTCATCGTGTTCTTACCCCTCCCAGACGACGAGGTACTTCAACATGAACTGAAGTGGCACACATTCGCTTGGTGGTGAAGTTAAAGTGGCTGAAGCCCTGGCCACAAAGTGCTTCTGTCAGAACAACCACTAAACCCGTAATCCCTCAGGAGACGAAAAGAACGTCAATACCATCATTAGTCAGAAAAACCATGAAATGAAAAAATGACACGATTCCGACAAATCATGCCATGAAACTGACGAATCATGATAGTTACAATCAAAAACTGCGTTGTTCTGATGTTACACAGTCAGTCTGCAAGAAGATTAACTTCTATAAAGGAAACTCATT